TTTATGCCATTACAAAATACTGTTAGATCAACAATGTTATAAACCTGGCATAAAAACAAAAACAGCATATATATTAAATATGTAAATCGAATGTTTAAAAACTGGCAATTTGAACAACAACAAAGCAATTTGTAAACACAATGCAAAAGTAAATAAAAACATTAAAGATCAATATAAAATACAGTACTTTAGACAAATGTGATTTGATTAAAGAATTCAAACAAGAACCAGATATATTTACTTGCATTTGTGTTTTTCACTTTTTTCTTAATTAGACTTAAACTGGTAACTGCAGATAATTGCCTGATTATCGAGTGGAGCTTTCAAATAAATTTCATATTTTTGTAAACAAAAATTGTCTGAGATACAAAAAAAATTGTTTGAATAATGCAAATACATGGCATGGATTATTGTTGTAATCAAAATTAAGCCCTTGTATCCTATCTTCACGAAATTAAGCATGGATTATTATTTAAGGCAATAGTACAATTTTCGAATAAATCGTTCAGATCGGATCACTATAGCATATAGCTGCCACACAAACTGAACTATCGAAATCAAATACTTGTATGGAAAACTTTTTAATTTAATGAGATATCTTCACAAAATTTGGCAAAGATCATTATTCAATGCATCGTTGTAATTTCGAAAGAAATTGTTCAGATCAGATGCCATAGCATATAGCTGCTATATAAACTGACCGACCAAACTCAAGATAAAGATCTTTTTATACTTCTTTATACTTCGATGCAGTCAAAGTTAACGTTTTCCTTTTTTTCATACACTGAAGTTGCGTAGTGGTCGTGTTTCCACCAACTTCATCTAACGGTTTCTGGCTACTTATCGATCCTAGCAGGGTTAGTTCATCAAAACAAAACAAAAATATTCCTTCTTCTTTAATTAGCCGTATTAACACTATTGAGTTTCGGCCTCACATAATAATGTAATAATCAGTACTTCTCCTAGCTTCATATACTTAATATTATACAAAATTTTCGATTGATTTTTTACCGTTTAGGTGAAATCCTAAATCTCGGGAACTACTGTGTGAGGTTATACAATCATGACTATCATACACTGTAAAAATGGAAAATATGTATATTCAGTTGACAATCACGCCTACTTCCCATATAACAAGCTTTTAAATTCTATCTGAATGTTTCACTTTACAGTACACAAATCAAACATCAATGCAGTTAATATGGTAAAACTTTGCTAAAATAGTGTCTTCAAATTGTTTAATCTAACGCCCAAAAATTGTCGAAATTGAACTATAACTTTTCAAGGACCCAGACACCAAATATATGGACACAAGTGCATATGGCTAATTTTTTACCGAACATATGGTCCAATTGTTGGCAGTACAGGTCCAAGTTAAGAGTTTGGCCGTAGAGTAGCTGCTCATATCCAATCTCACCAAACACATAGCAAAACCTTGATCACCGTCAACCTTGGCTTGGCCACCGTTTACGCCGTTTCACCGCATCGCATCTGATGCTCAAATGAGACTGAATCACAAAACTGTTTAAATTTTTTTTTTCTTATTACTATATATGATATATTTAACTCTCTTAAACTTAGTGTTATCACTTAAAAGTGGGGAATATTCAAGTAAATTACCAATTCCACTCCCACTTTCATAATAATCGAAATCTAGTAAAACCAACCTTTAATAATGTATTGCTTTAAAATGGTATTTCCGAAATTTCTATTGAACTTTCTCACCTAAGATCTTTCTGAAGCTGTACATTTTTTTTTCTGGAGCTTTAAGTTTAAACATTATTATTATTATTTTACGAATTTAAGTTATTATAGAGCTTGAGAACAGGTAAGAGCTTTTCTTAAGCTTTTACCATCCTTTGCGGAGTGCACTTAACTGTTTCCATTGGATAATTGTTCCAATTTTTTATATTCGCCTTCAAACTGGTCCTCTTACTAGTAAATGGTAAAGTGGAAGTATAAGATGTACGACTTTGTAATGATGTATCAACTTTGATGGCTTTAAAATGTCAAATACATGGGTTTTAAATATATATATATATATATAATATAATACAATTTTTAGTGAGCCTCGCGAATTTCTTCTTTTATCTTCAGGGACCACTTCCGATAATTTTTTCTTCAGGATTGTGGTGCATATTTTAGTAGTTGCAGCGGTATTCATTCCTTCCTAAAGCTCAGTTTATGATCCCAAGCCAACGAAATCATATTCGGGTCGAGTTGTTTAAGTTGAGAAATGAATTTCAAAGATAGTGAGTGAGCGAATCAAGTTCAAAGAAAGTGCACACGGCTAGGAAAAATAACTATTTATTTCTAATATTAAATAATTATAACTATTGGTGTTATATATTGCCTTCTATAATTATAATTGATTGACATGTTAGTGTTTAAGATGTGGACCTTAACTTCCAATAGCGGACAATTACACAAATTACTTTTGTGCTTAATCGACTATATACAATAATTTGATGATTATCAGTGTGATTATTTTCTTCATAACATCCTCCACTTAATTAATAATAAAAAGAATTTAATTAAACTTAAAAAAAATTTCTTAAAGAAAATATTTTCTTGAAAATAATTCAACATATGTTTTCTTTAATTTAAAAATATCTTAAACTATAAACAGAACTAATAATAAAAAATTATACATAAAAAATTACTTTAAACAAAATGTTGAAGAATTAAAAATATTTTATACAAACTTTGTTTTATTTAAAAATATTTTGGATTATAAACAGAATTTATAATAATAAATTATATTTTAAAAAAAATTGAAAAATTAATAATATTTTATAGATACGTATATACACATTTTTTCATTAAAAAATATTTTTGATTAAAAAAAAATAATAATAACAAGTTTAAAAGAAATAAAAACAAACAAAAAATAATAAAAATAAAAAAATTACAAAAAAAAATTATTTTAAAAAAAGATTTAAAGAACTAAAAATATTTTACACAAATTTTTTTTATTTAAAAATATCTAAGATTATAACAATATTATTTTAAATTTTATGTAATTAAAACAATTTTAAAAATTTCTAATATTTTATAGATATGTATACACATACATATATTTTAATTAAAAAATATTTTAGATTGAAAAATATCAATAATAACAAGTTTAAAAGAAATAAAAACAAAATAAAACTTTAATTAGTAATACAACTTTTAGATGACTGGCACAATTAGCCGCAAAATGCGCGCATTTCTTACAGACTTGTGGAGGTAAGTACATATGCGCACACGTACAATCACATCTTTCAAAAATTATTTTCTTTCTCCACAACTCATCAGATATAAAAAAAAAATTATTTAATTTTCAGCAGCAAATAAAATTTCCGTATCGAATATAATTGCCTCGACGAATTTCTACGCTCGCCTGACTACATACACATACCTATATACATTTACATATTTGTATATAGAAAATTATGCACACATACTTGTATGTGATGTTTGCACATCACCAAGTCTTGCTACATTTTCCAGCCATGACTCAAATACGAGCAATGGCAACAGCAACAACGACAACACACACCAAAAAATCATAACTGTGGTAATCCAAAAATTAAAAAATATTGAAAAAAGTTGGAAATCACAGGTGCATGAAGGAAAACTCGTAGACATGCACACGAGGCATCACGAAGTTGCTCGGTGGGCGGAGGATACGGGACGGCGCGGAAGCACATCAGCCAGACCGCTCATCATGAGCATTTCCACAGCAAACTTCTTCATATTATAAATGATAAACTTTTACAGGCGCACACACAGACAAGCACCACAGCACTAAAACTGTATGTGTACGCATATATGCATGTATGTATATATTGATGTATGTAGACGGCGCAAGCGCTATATTACGGGTGATCCAAGTAGAGATACTTTTTTCAAGAGCTTTATTTGACAGATCACGCGTGAGTCGTGTCAAGCCGTCGTGTTATTTTTGTTCAGTATTTTTTGACATTTTATCAATTCCGGCTCAATGGGTATCTAAACAAGCAACAAAAAATAAATAAAAAACGAAAAGCAACCTGAAGATATTCAAGATGGCAGCTCTCATCCAAAAAAAACAACGAGTTCGTGTGGTTTGTGGGTCGGTGGAATAATCGGTCTATATATCTTTAAAAATTATGCCGGTGAGAACGTAATCGTCAATGGCGACCATGATAACCAACTGTTTGATGCCTGAAATCGAAGCTCGAGATCTCGGCGACATTTGATTTCAACAAGACGGCGATACTACTCACACATCGCATCAATGAATCAAATCAAATTTATTCAGAGAATAGGTCAATGAGCAGATAATTTTACTTTTCCGGCTGGTCGATCGAACGCGTCATCGAAAATTGCACTCAACGGATGGACCCCCTGAGACGGAGCCGCGGCTAACAATTGAAAGAGATAGTCTTCAAACAATAAATGCCAAAAAAGTACTTTCAAATGATAATAAACATTCCCCATTAAATTTGAATTTTCTCTATTTTTTTCTTAAAAAATTTAGGGAACCTCGAAATGGATCAGCCTTTACTATGTTATTTGTTGAAAACACTTTTATTTTAGCTATTTTTGCTTTTATTAAAACAACAATTATTCATGCAATCGTGTTGTTACACCTTTAGTTGTTGTTGTTGCTGTTGTTATTGTTAATGCGTCTTCTTCAGCTACTGCTTCAATCTGCAATCTACAATCTTTTTTCAATTTCGCACATACGATTTTATTCCACTTTTGTAGCTTGGTTTATTTCGTGGCGATTTCGGTTTCGGCTTTGACTTAGTGATGTGGAACCCAGTTGCGCCGCAACGCACCGCGCCAGCGCAGTACGACTGCAAACACACACACAAACCAAAACATACACGAAATGGCTTAGATGGCCGCTTAGATGTGCCATTGCACAAAAGCGCCGACGACGACGACGTCGCCAAGTGGCGGCAGTGCCGACAACAACAGCTGCCGGCTGCTACAACAACAACTCGCTGCAGCTAGACCGGACTTATATAGCGACAAAACATGTTTGGCAGTGTTCAGTTGCAGATTTAGCCACCAACGAAGCGGTTGTTGTCGTTGTTGCTAGTGCGGTCGTGAATAATTCAATATTTGCCAAAAATTCCAAAACCAAAAATATATATTAGAAAACTTAGTTAAAGCGCGCAAATCGCTCGTGACAATTGCAAAAGGATTACAGCTTTTTTTGGATTAAAATTACTTAACCAACTTGAAACTCAGGGTAAGGAAAAGCGAAAGGATCAAGTTGTATTCACATAACAAATTATAATTTGAACTTCAAAAAATATACGCAAACAAAAGACTTTAGCAGCGAACCTGACTGTGAATTTTCAGTGTTTAAACTTATATTTTACTTTAAAAAAAACTTAATAAAATAAAAACTACATGCCGATTAGTGGTGAGAAATTTTAAATATTTTTGAAGAAAATATGTTCCGTGCTTACAATAATATATGTATATGTATATTTGTCGTAAAAAAGGTTTCATCAAGCATGTTAAAACTAATTTGTAAGAAAAAATTAATGTACTATATGATGATAAAATTTGTAAGCAAAAATTTTAAAATTTTATGGGAATTTTTGAAGCTATGCAATAAACATATAAGTTGACATTTCAGCATTACAAATATTTTTTTGCTAAAATTTAATATTTAAATTGTAACATAAAATTTTTGAAAATTTTGTCCGACAAAAATCAACGCAAATTTTTAAGGAAAAAAAACCTGTTTAGAAAAAATATTATAGTTAAATCATTTTAAAGCAGATATATTGCAAATTATTTTAAAAAAATATATATTTAAATAAATATTCATAAATGGACTGCAAACAAAAGAAACTAATTGAAATGTTGAAAAGATTTTCGTTAAAGTTTATTTAAATTAAAGATATACAAAGAAATATTTTAATATGCTATAAAAAAAATAAAATCAAAAGAATACAAAAAAAAACTTCTAAAAATATAAGAAAGGTTTTGAAAATTAAAAATCATATTTTTCTTAATCTGGAGAAGTTAATTCTAAAATCAACTTTTTATTATCAGTTCTTCAAGTTCTTTTTATTATCCAAAAATTAAAAATTTATAATAAAAAAATGACTATGTACATTATCAAAAAATTTTAATACTAAGCAAATTTATTTAAAAACTTTTGTTACAAAAAAAAAATAAAAAAAAAATTTCTAATAAATTTTAGTATATATTTTTATGAAACAATTTTATTTGAATAGTAAAACTATAGATATTTTTTTAAGCAACATTTTTACTAAATAAATTTTTTTTAATAAAATTGTTACTAAATATATTCATATTGATCACTCTTGCTGAATTGTAAACTGTCTTTTTTGTAACGCAAAACCACTAAAGCTGAATCAAAATTCTCATATATCGACAAAGGTTCATATATATTTCATATATGAGTGTATTGACATAACACATTTCGATTCCAGCTAATTCGCCACTTTAGCTTTAAATATATATTTTTTGAGAAACTTTCTTAAAATTTTTGAAAAGTATAATAATGTATTTTTCTACAAGTTATTTTTTAAAATTTTCCAAAATAATTTTTAGCTTTTGCGAACATTAAACTTTTAAAAATTAATTACAAAAACTTTCTCAAAATAAATTTGTTTAAAGCTAAACCAACTATTATTTTTACTTGTTTAAAAAATTAATTTTTTTTTAAATATTTTTCAAAAATTTCCCAAAATTTATTATAAAGATTGTTGGTTGAAAGTTGCAAAATAAAATGTATGCTTATTTAAATCGTCGGAGAGAGGAGACTGAAGCTAAAGTCTGTAGATTATAACAAAATAAAATTTTTGGACAAAAAAAAAGACTAAGCACCAAAAAAAATTTATTTTTTTGCTCCACCTTATATTTTTTAATTTATTAAAGATTCTTTATAAAGCTCACTTAAAAAGATAACTTCCAAGGTTACAAAATATTCAAACAAATTGCTAAAAATTGCAATACTTGCATTGATTCCTCCGAAATTGTTGACAAATTATTAAGTTATGATACCCATTAATAAAGTGCTATAAGCTTAAAAAGGTTGTGTCGTTTTTTATAGCTATATATATTTTACTATAGGATGCCGAAATTTTCAAACTGAAAATAACCACCCCAAAAATTATTTCAAAATTTTAATTTTGCTTCAAAAATATTTTTTAACAATAGAAAAAACTAATAAATTGTATTTAAATTATTTAGAGATTAACAACATAATGTATTAACTGTTACATTACCGAGCTTGAAAACAACGTTTCTCAGCATATGAATTATTGCTCAATATTACACAAAATTTACTAAAAAATTTTAGAATTTCTCACTTCATTTAACTTTTTGCCGCAAACCGCAATGCAGCACATAGTTCCAACAATTTCATTTTACAACAAATATTTGCACATTTGTTTCATACAAAGTAAATAGAGCGCCAACAACAAAAGTACATACATTTACTATGGTTTAAAATAAAATTAAAAGCTTGTTGTTACAAAAACAACTGTTTGCAAAAATTATACAGTGTTGCTTTAACTACAAAACAGCATCGTCGAAAACCTTGCGCAATGTCAAGTTCGTCGCTTGTGTCTTTTTTTTTGTGCTACTGTGAAATCTAGGTGAACGTGGCAATGGCTTACGCTTTGCTGTTAGTAGCAGCATGGCGACTTGTCGCCAATATGCACAACAAATTTCGCACACAATAAAGGTCATTGCGGAAGTGTTGTGGCCAATCCGCGTTAGTTTCTATGTCATAACGATCGAAGTGAAATATAAATAAGCACGCCGGCAAAGACCCGGTTTCGCTGGCAGCGCGAATTAATTTGCATGCATTCAATAAATTTTGAAGATTTCCACTACTTTTTTTTGTCATAATTAGCGAAATGAAATAAATGATTATAATTTATGCAAAATTTTGTTTTCAAGAAAAATTTTTATTATAGTTTATTGTATTGTATTGAATTTTTTACAGGTTGGTTGTTTAGGTGTGAATAAAAATTTATTTTCCTTCTATAAAGTATATATTTTTTTGAGATTTTTGGACATTGGCATTGCTATATTATCGCAAATTTTCATAACAATATTATAAACAAAACTAATAAATTGTATAATAAATTACAATAAAAATTGGTTAAATTAAAAAAAAATTGTTTGATAAAATTGCATTAAACTCTTTTATAATATATAAAAAACATATTAATAAAATCTTTTGAAACTTCTTATAAAATGATATGTATAAATAAACATTTTTATAAAATTGCATAAAACTTTTTCATAAAAAAAATTTTTAAATCAATCAATAATATACTAAACATATTTATTTTTAATATAAAAGATAACTATATTTTATATAAAAAATAATTTACATTTATTCTTAACATAAAAGTAATATATTTTTAATAAAAAAATATTTTATGATTTAAAATTTTTTTTAAATTTTTTTAAAATAATTTAAAAGAGTAACAAAACAAAATAAATATTTTACTAAACTATCAATAGAAATCAAAAAATAAATGTGTAATATCTGACACGTATTTACTTTTTATATAAGTAAATGCAAATTAAATATAAAAAATATATTTTTTTAATGTAAAATATGCATTAAAATTTACCAAATGCGAACACCAAATTTACCAAGGCACTAAAAATACTAGTCTGAGGGAAAAATTCTTAGCAAGATGTTTGCTTGCAAATATTATTTTGGAACTAAAACTTTTAATATTTAAGAGTATCCAGCTTAACTCTAAACTAAGTCGATGCATTTATCGCAATACAAAATATGCAACACGTTGCCTACAAGTGGGTTCTGTCATTTTTACTTTAGCAATGGAAAACCACTAGCTCTTTCTACAAAAATAATCTAGTCTACTAAAAAAAATTATGTGCTATCTGTGTGGTGTTTTTTATTTCATTTGTAATATTTTATTCCATGAATTTTGATTTCAAAATTTTTTGGATAACTAATTACTTAAAAAAAATAATTTCATTTTCCAAAAAAAACCATTTTATCAACAAAAAAATAATATTATACTCTGGTATGGACTTAGAAAATGTTTACCTTCAACTGGTAAAATAAGCGATTCCACGTTTGCAAAAAATGCATTAAAAAATATATAAAATAATTTTGAATTCCAAATACCGGATTAAAAAATGAATAATACAATTTTAAGCACAAATAGTGGATTGAAAACTAAAAAAAAATGTTAATGATTATTTAGTTCTAAATGTTTTTGATTAACACAAGAACAACAAAATGTAGTTCAATCAAACAATTTAATCTCAAAAACCAAAAAAAATACAAATGATTTAAAATCATCTCGTAAATATATGCTTTTTATTATAGGTTTTAATATTATTTTGTTTTCTAAAAGTCTCTAAAAATTAAGAAAAAAAAATTATTCAGATTAAAATTAAAAAATTCAATGGGATTAAAAAAAAATTTATTTTAATCGAAAACTTTTTTAATAGTATAGCAGTAGTAAAAATTTACATCATTATTGTGAATAATAAGCTTAAAAGTATATAACAAAATTTTTTTTTACAACTAATAAAAATAGTTTAAGATTCAAATTGGATAATTTTCTAAAAAATCTACCGCGTCGCTTTGAACAGCTTTTAAAATTTAAATAAGTTATTATTTTTTCATATTCAATTCTTTTAACAACATTTACAGTTGTTTTTAAGACAATTTCAAATCTAAATTATACAACCTCAAGTTGCCTTTTCGCAATCATACCTCATACCTAAACATGTAATGAAGATTACTATATTCCTAAATATAACATCATAACGCCACAGACAATCTGAAACAAAACTTACGAAAATCTATTTATCGCCTTTTTATTGCCACTTCCCGGCACACAAGAATGACAAAAGTTGGCTAACATAAACAAACAACAAGTATGTTGTAAGTAAAGTGCTTGCCAAATGCTTGCAAGCTTAGGTCAATAAACACACACGAGGCTTTAGCTAAACACACATACATACACAACAACAAAAATATAAAATAACACGAAAAAATACAAAAAAATATTACAAAAAGCTGGCAATATTAGACAATAGACCAAATGGTGCTGCAAGAGCGACCAAACAGGTTTGCTGCTGGTTTTCTAAATGTTGCAACTTCTAGTGGCAGCAACACTCTAAACAAATGTGCAAAGCTGCAAGCAGGTTGCAAGCGATTGGCGAGCATAATCAGCTTGCAATTGCGGACATGTAAGAATAAAA